CACATGCTTTCCAATGCAGGAAAGGGATCAGGTGAACCCTCCATTAGTTTTATTCAGTGTCAGCCAGTTCAGCCGGGGGCGGGGGTGAGATCTTTTTATCACCCCCTAAAAAGGAGGGGGGAGGGAATTGCCACTGCATGTACAAAGGCTTTTAGTAGGTACAAATGAATATGGATATATAACTAGAAACATGATATTCCTTCACTTCACTGGTTTTAATATTAAAGTACATTATCATACCAAGACACCTCTAGGCACTTCACAAAATTAGTTTATGAAATCTTAATAGTACAGCTTGCTCTGCTAAGTTTCACACTAAAAGCAAGAGTGGAGAGGAAAAGGAACCTAAAACAGGTTGTCATTATTTATACAAAGGGTCGAAAGATGTGTAGCAGGCCTAATTCTTCCAGAGCATTTGACGTATGAGTAACGATATGTGAAGACCACCAAAGCCATGATTTTGTATGCTTGTACTGAGCATTGTGTTTCATTCCCCATCCTCCCAGATTCTTTACTGGGTGTAAATTATGATAATTTCACATTGATAGCAGCTGCATTTACCAAGGAACAGCTATGACAGAAAAAAAGAAATAGTTGACGTAATTCTCCATCCCAAAATAGCCCATCTCCAGTATTTCTAGACTTTTCTTGCAAAACATTAAGTTTCTTGTCCCCACCTTACACCCTGTTCCCTCTCAAACTAATGTGTGATGTTTGTATGAAGACTATGTCCTTCAGATCAAAGAGCAAAACCTTTTTTAAGAAACTTATTTTTACAACTAATATCTCTCTCATTGGCTTCTCTGTGTCAAAACTGCAATGTGTTTCTGTTGCTCTTCTTAATTCTAGTATGATAATTCTAGTAGATAAAATTAGGTTGACATTTTCTGTAACTGACATTTCCTAGACTAATTAAATAGTAAAGAACCAACAAACCTGTAGAAGAGAGTTGCCCTGAAGATGTTTTAGGAGCATCTTCCTTCATGGCTTCTCACCATTGATTTGTTATACAACCTCCACATGCAACAAGAAGTAGGACGCAAGGCCGGCCTGCCCATGAGGTGGAATGAGACAGCTGCCTTGGGTGGTGGAATCTGCCACCAGAAAAGCAAAGAGAAGTGGTGGTGGCAGCTTCCAAGGAAATCTTACCAGAAGCTGCCATCGCTGTACAACCCCAGTAAACAAAGCTTTGGTTGAGGGTAGCAACTTCCCCCATAGAAGCAAAATGGGCTAGGCTGCCCCTGCTAGAAGGAACTATAGATCTCTAGGAAAAACTGAAGTAAGAACCAGATGCAGATAATGTCTTAAAGGTAAGACAACTTAATTCTGGGTTTTGTTATTGCTACTGAGGAACACAAATGCCAGGTCCAATTCATGAACTTCAAGGGGCATTTTCTCCCCCAGCTCTAGCCTCCTTATGTCCATATGATTGGTTTTATGTTGAAGATATAAGTTTGTGCTGTGTGGCCATGCCATTCCAGTTGTGTGGCTCAAAATGCACTTGACTTGGAGTATTTCCGTTAGCACATGCATCAGACAGGCACCAGAGAAACAAACCTTGGAAAACTGCATATGAAGGTTGAGTTGTTGTCAAATGCAAATTAACATGTTATGGCGGCCTCAGTTACTTTAAAGTCATTTCAGACAGCTCTGGTGGGCTTTCTCAGTTCTGTTTGGGCAAGGAATGAAAGCCTGGATAAAAATCATTTTTCAAAAAAGTATAGAAAATTTGCAGCAGAAATGACATGAATAATGTATGCTATGTACACTGGCACATTTGTCAAATACTAAAAAGATTCCATATGAGCAGTTAAATGGATTTCTTGGAAGACTATGAATATTATGGAAACAAAACGGAGGTGGTAGAAATAAAGGTGTGCACAGGCAAGTCATCAATATGACTTAAAGTTCAGCCTTGCCAGTTGGCTGACTATGCATAGCTAAATCTAAATCTGGGAATCTAAAGTATGTGCCACATTCCTCCCATTCCTGCTGTCTGATGCACCCTCTCTGGGATAGGAGAAGAGCTTTAGCTCTCTGATAGGTCATCTGCTTTGCATGCAGAAGGTCCCAGGTTCAATCCCCAGCATCTCCAGGAAGATCTGGGAGAGACTCTTGAAGAGCTACTGCCACTCAGTGAACTAGATGGACCAATGATCTGACTCAGGACAAGGCAGCTTCCTATATTCCTACATTTCCAACATGTTCAAAACCTGTAATCTTCCCCTCTTCTGCTCCTGTGAGATATCACAACCAGGCCCGTGTCCTACTTAAAACCATTTAAGTGCAAGTCTGCCATTTTAATTCCCCACAGTGCCCTGCTCCTGCATATTTTCATCCACATGAGCAGAAAGAACATGTGCTAGCTGAGTCACATTGCACCACAGGGCAAACAACACTTAAACAAGAGGGAATGAGCAGCCAGAGCACAGATCAAAATGTAGAGTAAAAGAATATGCCATTTATTCTATGGCAAAATAGAAGGAGCAAGTAGTTCCATGGTCCTGGGGTGGCAAACCATCGGTTGGATGAAACCTGCAAAGTCACTGTGAGTGGCCCGCCAGCCAGAATCAGGTGCTTTTTTTCCTTTCTGTAAAGGTGCATCTTCCAGTATGGCACTCCTAGAAAGCCTTACTTGTTCCTTCTTGTTCCTGACTAGCAAGCGCTTCTGGAGATGGTGCCATTACAGAAAAGGAAATCACCCCATTGCAGTGCTGGGGTTCAAAACTTACTTCTCAGCCCAGTGTTGCAACAAAGAGGTAAGGGAAGTAGAGGCGGGTGTGGTGTCTCCTGAATTCTAGAACAGATTCTAGAAGCATTCTTAGACCTTTATCATTATTTGGTCTGAGTTTTGGTGGTTGCAGGCAAACATCAATGTGTGTGCTGCTTTAGTATATGTGCCTCTGTTCTCTAAATATCTGCTGGATTTCTGCTCATGATTTTCTAAATTGCGACTTGCCCACTGCTGTGTTGGAATTATTTACACCGGACAAGAGGGTACACAGAGACTGAACATGGAGCCCGGCACGCTTCCGTTGCGGAACTCTGCAAGCTATCCGTGCCTCCTGCAAAAGTCCTCCTCAGGCCTCTTTCTCTTGCCGGTAGCAGAGCGAAACACAGCGGTGAGAAGCAGAGTGCAGCACGTGTGGAATAAATCAGTCCAGACACAAGGCAGTCCTTATCTACTCTTGCCTTTTAATCATGAAGAATAACATCATAAATTCAGACCTGGCGAGAACTGACACATTCTCCCTTTCGCATCACGTCCGAAAGTCAGACTGAAACACACGGAGTCAAACCCCTCCCTTAAGTGTTTCTAACCACGCCTCAGGAAAGAGACGTCACCAGAACTCTTTAACTCTGTGAGTTCTGAAACCATTCACACCCCCTCTCGTCACGAATCCTGAGGGGAAACTGTGAACCCCTATTTACAGACCTCTTTGAGTTCAACTCACCTCCCATTGCCTTTTGCCTCCCACTGGCATCCATCCCAGGCAATTGTTGAATCCCTTCCACACTCTCAGAATCACACTGTGCGAAACCAACCCACGCACTGGTGACCTGAAACCTCTCCGGTGGAATCCCTTTGTGGTCCGAGTTGACCGCCGGAGCACAACCTCAGGCGCTCCTCCTGACCCACTGGGGTCAGCAAGTGTGTCTCCAGCAAGCTCAGAAGACTCCCCTCTGACTTGCTGCGTCTTCGGGCTTCCTGCACTTGGCTAACAGGAGATGAAGGCTCACTCTTGGGTTCCCTCTTAACCTGTGGAGAAACCCACCCCTGTGCTTGACCATCATCAGCAACCTGGTCTTCAGCAACAGGCTCCGCCTCTGCCTCTCCTTCCTCCCTTTCTTCCTCCTTTTCCTCCCACTCAGAATCGGACAAGCAGTCTGAGAGAAAATCAGAACCATACCTAGGCTGTGACCAACCATCCTGCTCAAAGAACTCAGCATGCTTGCTGACCAGCAGCGTGGTCTGATCACCCTCTGGGTATGCAAACTTCCACCCATTTGTTGCAGGATCATACCCACAGAAGATCATGTCCTGGTACCTAGGACCATCCTTCTTCCGTTGCGCTGTTGGTATTGGCACTGAAGCCTTGGAACCAAACGAACGGAAGAAATGCACCTGTGGCTTCCTCTTGTGCAACAGAAAATACGGTGTGTCACCTACATCGTGATTGTAGGACCTGTTAAAAACAAAGTTGGCAGCTTTCCAAGCTTCACTCCAAAAGCTCTGAGGCAGCCCAGAGTCACCCAGCAAAACTCTGACAGCTTCAGCCAGTGTTTCACTCCTGTGCTGTGCCACGCCTCTCCCTTGAGGAGACTTTGCACCCGTCACGTGGTGACGTATTCCTTTTTCCTTGAAAAACTCCTCCAGAGCAGACCCAGTAAACTGTGACCCTCGGTCGCTCTTGAACCCTTGCACCCTGGTGGAAAACCTTCGTTCCACCTCCGCAACCCAATCCTGGATCAGTTGCGCCGCCTCCCCCTGTGATTTGAGAGAGAAACACCAGCCAACCTGGCTGTGGTCATCTGTCAGCGATAGCACATACTTGGCCCCACCCAGACTCTCACACCTCATGGGTCCTGACAGATCTGTGTGAATCAACTCAAAAGGTTTTGTGGTTACCCTCTTTACCCCGGGAAACCTGCACCTTTGAACCTTGCTGCATGCCCTGCACACTAGGGATCCCTCACATGGTGTGATTTTACATCCTTCGGTGCAGCCTGGCAGCCTCTTAACATCCTCCAGACAAGCATGAGACATTCTCTTGTGCCATACATGAACACATGAATCATGGCTGGGAACACTAGCACACTGCGCCTGTGCTTTCCCTGCATTCCCACCACCCTCCAGAGGTGTTTCCAGAACAAAGAGATTGTCCTTGCTCTCCACGTTGACAAGTTGCCCCCCCCTCTGAAAATGGAACAGGTGTTATTTTCAAAACAAATTTTGTATCCCTGCTTCGCCAGAGCAGAAACCGATAACAGGCAACACTTCATCCCTGGTACAATGAAGCACTCCAGCTCAGCCTGCAAAACAGAATTATAGACATTTGCCACTTTAGATACATTTCGTTTTTTCCGTCAGCAAATTTACACGTCATTCCAGTTAAAACAGCCCTGCAATTCTGCAGCTCCCCAGCAGATGGCGTTATCAGGTGATGACTCGCTCCTGAGTCCAGCACCCACTTCATAGTTGTGTCCCTGCTGGCATTGTTGTTCAAAGTTGCCAGAGAAGCCGCGAGATGATAACAGTCTCCCTTCTCTGAGTCACGTCCCTCCTTCGCGTTCCCACGCTGGCCTCCTCTCCGAGACTGGTTCCCATGAGAACTCAGCTGGTTGACCTTGGAGACATCCTGCCCGGCCTCTCTGCTCTTCTGCGGACAAGCCCGTTTTAGATGGCTGTTGGATCCACAGACATAACATCGACGAGTGGAAAAAGCCTGAACACAGCTCTCATCTGGCTTGCCCCCACCTCTGCAACCGGTGGAGCTGCCTGCGCCAGACCTGCCTTCTCGGACACGCCTCTCCTGTTCGTCCGAAAGACGCCCTGTCACGTACGATAGCGTCAAATCCTGTGGACTCATCGATTCCATAGACAGACACAAATTGTCATAACTTTTGTCCAGAGAGCTGAGCAAAATATAAACCTTCAGCTCTTCTGAAAAGTTGACCTGTAACAGGCGCAACTCATTGAAAACAGAAAGCATCTCAGTAACATGCTGTCTGATGTTCCCACCGGGACGCAGCTTCATCTCAAATAAGCGTCTGGTGGTGTGGATCTTTGCACCAGCCGTGGTTCTGTGGTGCACCCTCTCAAGGGCTTGGTAGGCCTCCTGAGCAGTCTCAAGCCCTTCAACCAGAGGAAGTTGGGAACCCTCCAAACTGAGCACTATAGCTCCCAGGGCTTTCTGGTTTTCCTCTGCGACGCGTGAGCAGCCGCTATGTCCGCTGCTGCTGCTCCTGCTGCAGGTGGTGGGAGAGGGGCCCTGGGTCGCCTCCCACAACCCCTTGGCTACCAGCCAGGCCTTTAGCTTCCGGCTCCATTCGGCCCAATTTTGTCCATTTAATTTCTCAAAGGGAACTGAGAATGATTCACGATCGTCTGCCATCTCCTCCCCGGGGGCTAAGCTTACTCACGTCTCCCGGCAGTAGCTTTCTCCGCCTCCCGGCTCCGGCAGATCGCTTCTCCCCAGCGAGCTCCTTCCAGCTTCAAAGACACAGCTCCAGAGCTCCAGCTGGACCCCAGCAACTTTCCTGCTGGCTTCCCCCACACGTGGGACGTTCCTGCAATGCTTCAAAGCTTTGGCGAGCTCCCATAACCTGTTGGAATTATTTACACCGGACAAGAGGGTACACAGAGACTGAACATGGAGCCCGGCACGCTTCCGTTGCGGAACTCTGCAAGCTATCCGTGCCTCCTGCAAAAGTCCTCCTCAGGCCTCTTTCTCTTGCCGGTAGCAGAGCGAAACACAGCGGTGAGAAGCAGAGTGCAGCACGTGTGGAATAAATCAGTCCAGACACAAGGCAGTCCTTATCTACTCTTGCCTTTTAATCATGAAGAATAACATCATAAATTCAGACCTGGCGAGAACTGACACATTCTCCCTTTCGCATCACGTCCGAAAGTCAGACTGAAACACACGGAGTCAAACCCCTCCCTTAAGTGTTTCTAACCACGCCTCAGGAAAGAGACGTCACCAGAACTCTTTAACTCTGTGAGTTCTGAAACCATTCACATGCTGTACTGAGTGTGTGGGCTAGAAATGCAGGGGGTGTATCATGTATTTTTAGCTTTGAACTCATAATGGCAGTTTTATTATGTCTCTTATTACTTTTCAGTAGCCTTCTCAGTTTCCATGACTTCTTTTTCATCTAATACGACACCTTTCTATGCCTTCAGTGTTTTCTTATTATAGGGTAAGAAGATGGTTGCTATCCATCTGTTTCCCTGCACCTTGCATGGAGAATCTGACTGGTGAGACGTACTGATCATAATGGGGGTCTAACATATGAACATCAATGTATTCTATTTTGCCTCCAAACTATTTCCCACCTAGCCAGGAACACTGGGAGCCTTTTTATCTTACTGCTATTTCAGTGTTTCACACCCACATATGCATGGGGCACAGAGCACTGGAAGAACATTTTGAAGATTTTAAGAAGAGGAAAAGTTGGTAGGGTGGGGCAGTTGCACTCATATGGCCTGGACTCCCCCTCCCAGTAAGCAGCAGTGAGGTTATGGAAGGTCAAATAAGCATCTCTACCTTGCTCCATAATATCAGCTATAGAGCAGGCTTCCTCAACCTCGGCCCTCCAGATGTTTTGAGACTACAATTCCAATCATCCCTGACCACTGGTCCTGCTAGCTAGGGATCATGGGAGTTGTAGGCCAAAAACTTCTGGAGGGCCGAGGTTGAGGAAGCCTGGCTATAGAGCATTAATCAAGCTCTATTTGCTACCATTTCAACAATGATGTGTACATTTAGATTGTAAGTACACAGTTCAACATTGCACTGTCTCTAGTCTTTACCTACAAAATTAAATCACCTTCATAGGGAAGGCAAAAAGTTTTTAGCTCACTTTTGCTTCCATCTGTAACATATGATAGAGTTTATCATGCTTCCATATTTTTGCTTCCTCCAATTGCTTCAAATTCCTCACCATAGAAGATGCATATTGGCATGAAATGTTTTTATTTTAAGTTTACTCAGGAAAAACTCTGAATAAAGAGAAGCATAAAATTCTGTATAAAACATGAGCAGATGTTCAGAGTTAACAGTCTACGGAAAACTAGTCACTACATTTTATTTCTTACAGAGCAACAAATATGACTCATGAATGCTATCTAAAAGGAATTAGAATGATTACTTTGCATACATTAACAGATTGGCATCGTCACACTTACGGGGTTAACAACTCCTACTCCTTTTTACAGAGAAAAGAGCTGATTCGACAGAGTAGTTGAGGTCAGGTGCAAAGCAGGTGAGCAAAGATCCTGACCTATTTCCAGCAGACAAGAGCAGTGCCTTAGTCATTTTCACATGTAAGAATATGATGCGACGTGCTGTTGCTCGCTAAAATATTGGGTGCACTTCTGGAGTTGGGGCAGCTATGTGTATACCATAACAACTGGCAGTGATATCAATAGACTGGGCATATATGATGTGTGATTTATATCTTGGGCCCTGCTGATGCAACACAGTCTTGGCTTTCTACCATCTTGAGATGTAGCAGCCATGGGGAAAGGAAAAATATTGAGAAAGAGAGTGATCTCTATAGGAACCTACCGAGGAATCAGATTTTAAAATAAACTGTAGTCAGTGCTGTCTTAGCATATGTGGCACCAGGGTGCAAAGATCCGCCTGGCTCCCCCACCCCCCAGGTTGCCCACTCCCAGGCACGCAGTAGGGCGGAGCCGGCCTCCCGCCTCAGCGTCTCGCTGGCTCGGTCGCCCCCGAACCCGCGACAGCAGAAGAGCCCGCTGCAGCGCTCCAACTGACAGGCAGGCTCCTCCCCGGACTCAACTCTCAGGGCCTGGACTTGGCCTGGCGCCCCTGAGAGCCTGGTGCCTGGGTGACCCACACCCCTAGTGCCTATGGGTAAGATGGCCCTCACTGTAGTAAAACTTCCATAGAAATTTCCAGTTCTGTTCTGAAATCTATGGGACTACTTGGCTATCATGTAGGGTGATCACCAAAGCATTGCAGAAAAGTGGGCAATACATCACCAAAAAGAAAAGCAGAGGAGGACACAGATTAGTCCCCATACGCTAATTTAGTAACATATGAAGAAACCTGATGGCTGAGCCCATCTCGTCCAGCATCCTATTCTCACAGCATGGAAGCAGCTGCCCATGTGAAGCTGACAAGCAGAACTCTGCACAACAGCCCTCCCCTGTCCTGTGGTTTCCAGCAACTGGTATTCAGAAACACTGTGCCTCTAACTGTGGAGGTAGAACATATCTATCTGGATTAGTAGTCACTGATAGCTTTATCTTCAACAAATTTGTAATTGCTCATGGAATCACAGAATTGTAGAGTTGGAAGTTATCTTGAGGATCATCTAGTCCAACCCCTGCAATGCAAGAATATGCAGCTATCCTTTACAGGAGTCAAACCTGCACCCTTGGCATGATCAGCAGCATGCTCCTCCGACTGAGGTGGACTCTCTTATAAAGCCATTCAGGTTGGTGCTGTTGTTTATAACTGTTATTTGTGAATTTATTGATATGTTCTATTTAGGTTGGAAACTGCTTTGGGACCACACTAAGTGAATAACAGCCTGAAACTTGTGTGTGGTGGGTGAAGGAAAGTCCAGATCAGTAGTCATGAAGTTGGAATCTCATAGACTCAGTTAATGAGATTTTAGAAGCAATTTAATCACACTAAAAAAGGGAAAGCCTAAAAGTAATTTGTTGAATTAATTTCATTTCAACAAGGGTTGTATTTAAATGCAGTGCGTGCTCATTTATTCGGCAATTCATTTATTTGCTTTACTTTTAAATCCACATTTGAATTTTTGCTTGAAAATGCTTTTAACTTTGCATTTAGTATTCTTTTTATTATGCTAAGGAAAGGTCTGAATTTTGCCTAGGCTGCTTTAATAATGCACAATAAGTATGAAGTGTATTTTTTGCAGCGCATTGGCGAAACATATTCATTCAAATATTTTGCATGACTTAAAGCCAGCATCTGAGGGCTTAAGTTGTACAAGCAAAACTTAATTCTGTGTTGTGGCTTGCGGAGGTACCTTGGCTTATTCAGACCTTTTTATTCCCAAGGCAGCTATTATGGACATAGATACTTTTTGCCAACTTGATGTACCAGTGTACCCTGTACATTATACAGACTGTATATATTAGGAAGTATGGAGGTGGCAGCGTGGTTAATGCTTGCTTGCAGGCATCTGCAAGTACTGCAAGTACTGACAGCTTGAAGCATCTGCCTGCCATTCATGCAGTGCTGCCCTGAGTCATTCAGCAGCAGGTAAGGTGGAAGGGGAGGAGCAAGGAGGGCGGGCCATTTGTGTGTTTGTGTAGTAGAAGACAAATGGAGCATGTGCGTTGTGTGTCTGTGGACTAAATAAGGAAAGCAAGCAGGCAAAGACTTTAAGGTTCTTGGGAAATATCCATAAAGCACACAGGATATACTGCAGCTTATGGCAATATTTGCCTGCCACTGTCTCAGTTCTTTTGGGGACCTATATCTTTGACTCTGTATTTCTGTTGAAATCACAGTAATTATTTCTATGCATAGCTGCATATTTATATTTGCATAATATAAATGCAATAGTACATATAAATTGACATGTGCACATTCTCATCCCCTTTCCTCCTCCTTTTTATGATGCAATGTATCTCTCTCTCTCTCTCTCTCTCTCTCTCTCTCTGATGCTAAGTCAAATTGCTCATATGAGTGGTCAATTCATTTGACTCTAGCATTCACAGGCGTTCTTTGTGATGGAAAAATGCATTAAAACTACCAGTACTTTACAAGCTATGTGAATCTACAAGAGGTGCAATAACATTTCAAGAGGATGAGAAAAAGATCTCAGATAGCCAAGATATACTAACTATCCCATTTAAAATACATTAATGAAAGGGATAACGGAAGAGAAATTTACATAGGAGCAGGACCTGGATCATCTGCCTAAGAAATTAATTGGGGGCAATGGGAAAAATTAATTGAACTGACTTGGGTGGCCTGTGATGGGGTAAAAATTGATTGAAAATTTTATTTGGGGTGATTTGAACGGGAAATTAAGTGGCTTTCCTTCTGTGAAAAGTAAATTCTAGCAATTATTTCTAAATTTGCACATATGCATATAAATTAGCATTTGCAAATAAGAGCCTGAGGCCGGGATCTTTTAAGTACCAAGAAGCCACCACTATTGACTTACATTTTTAGAAAGAAGAATCCTTTTTTAAGAAAATCATTTTTACTTTTTTCCTCATTGATATTTATGTCCAGAAATGACCTCTCAGATATTCCACATAGAAGAAACATTCATTCAGTCACTCCTTGTCTCAAAATTAGGTGTTAATAATTGTTTATACTGGATGTCTGTACAGTGGTACCTCAGGTTACATACGCTTCAGGTTACAGGCTCC